CCTGGGCGCTGTCCCTCAGCTCTTCAGCTCAAGGCTAGCGCTCTACCACTTGAGCCACAGCACCACTTCCGGCTTTTTTCTTTTTGCTGAGGAATTGAACCCAGGGCCTCAGGCATGCAAGACAAGCGCTCTACCACTGAGCTACCTTCCCAGCCCCACACATCCACACTTTGAGCCATCTAATCCAATCAAAAAGTTAAGTGACTTGGTTCAGGTCAAGTAACTCAAATGCAGTGAAGGAAAGGCCCAGACTTCTCAATGTCATGGCCGTTAACAACTTTTCCCAGAATCCAGTTCCTGAAGTAAGGACAAAGGGGATTCTGTGAAAGTGAATATGCAGAATAACTCACTACTGCTCAGGAAAACGTGAATAAGGAAAAATAACCACTACATATGATCTGTTTCAATTGATAATACGATAGCTAAATAAGCGATAAAAGTGGTTACTTCAACTCCTATTTGTGTACTATTGTCAATAATTAAGACACTAATATAAAATCAAAATCTTGCAAGACTGAACAGTCCAACAAAGTCCAGCCTATGTTTCTTTAATTGTACAAAATGAATAAATTCAAATGACTTATTAGTGGAAGAGGCTAATAAAGCAATACTCTTGTCTGAACTCCTTACTTCTATATGTAGAGATATATAGATAATATTTTTTGTGACTGTTTCAAGAGTATCAGCTGATACCATTATACTTACAATTTCCTATAATATGAAGCATTGGCAACTTTGGCTGAAGAGTTGTACAAAACATCAGAAACCAAATATAATCTGGCAATCTATAATACCAAAAAGATAACACAAAATAAAGTTTAAATGCAATTAGCCAATACTGTATCTAAACAACGAATCTGTATTCACATTTCTTGGAATCAGTGGCAATTGGTAAATGTGTGAATATAAGTGAATAATCATTACTAATTAGCAGTTAAGAAACGTAAGAGCTCTATAACCATGACTCTGGCAATGATAAAATCTGGTAATTCTTTTACATTTCAACTTGTAGAGGACTTGTTCTCAGCGAAAAGTAGTCTCTCCGAGGCAGAAGGAAAATAAGATCACACAGGAAAGATCTCATCAGTCCAATATTTTCATGCCAACAGGAAACCAACTATAATCCAAAAACAAGTCAACTACCATCTCCTGCCCAGGCTGGCTTCACGCCCTGATCCTCATTTCCCAGCCTCCTGAGCAGCTCGGACGACGGGCCTGAGCCACAGGCGCCGGCTCTCCTTCTTGACTCAAGGTTCAGAAGGCAAAGGCCCTGGCATACCTTTTTAGGAAGAGGTGTCTTTAGGATGGACAGCGACTCAGTAATGCAGTCCACTATTTCCTCGGCGGCTTCGGCATTATTGAGACAGAATACCATTGCGTCCCCAATGTCATTTTTCCTTGGAGTTAATCCCCGCAAGATCTCCTCTAATTTGTCTCTCTGTCTGAATAGAAAAATTTAAGCTTATGAACATCTAAACACAAATTTCAAGTGGCATTAGTTTGCTCACAAACTAATGAAGACCCTCCCAAGACAGAATAACTCAGACGATAGGTTTTATGAGAATTTATAAGGAATAGGGAAGAATAGCTTCGTGGCACGAATGGAAGACTCCAGCTGAGGTCTCAGCTTTTGGCTGAAGGCACTTCTGAGGGCCAGACCTGCTCTCGCGGTCCACCAAGCAGCCCTTCCTAGCAGTGTCTCTCAACGAAGAGCTTCAACTAGGTTCTGCGTGTGAAGGCTGTGAACAGCTCGCGTCTGGCAGGCTGACGGAGCTCTGCCAGTTACTCGACTGACCTAGGGAGCCATAAAGAGCAGGTGGAGGAGGAGGTGGGCAGGGTTGTGTCCTAACAATAGCAAGAGGGAGGCAGACGCAGCCTGTGGACTGAGTGTGGGGCGTAAAGGCATGATTCAGACAGAGACCCCCAAACACGGGGCTACTCCATAGCCAATACTCACACATGCTCCTTCGTGCGACCAGCGTCGACGGACGGAACGTGCAATGAGCTCCGTGAACTTTATATGCTAACAATCCTTAGGCCATTTCTTCAGTCAGATACCCCCCACCCTCCCTCCGACACTTGAAAGACAATCCCTGCTCTGTAACTGAGCGCGTGCGTGCAAGAGGACGTGCCCACCACGGCCATGTCAGGGGACGGGCGCGCTGTGGACCGGGCAGAAGCACACCCTCTCGGGGCGCGCGTGGCCCCACGGGCACGCACAGCTCTTCTTCACCCTGAACTCAGGCAATTCTACCATCAGAACTGCACCACGGCCCTTTCCAGGTAGGGCGGTGACTCTCGCTGGCGCTGGCCCCACCCCCACCCCGCCCCCGCCCCCGCCCAGGCCTCCTTGGCTGGAGCCACACACCTGCTTCATGGACTCATGCGGGGGGCGGGGGTCCCCTAACTCTTTACCTTACACCAAGACCACACCCCCATCGCCCCTCCCAAGCAGCTGCGATTACAGATGTGAACCCCAAGGCCGGTCTCAGGTACACTTCCCAGCCTATCTCTGATTTCATCAAGGTCAGGAGGACGCACACTTGTATTTGCCGAGACGTTGAAAATTACAAGGCACATACAACAGAAGGTGTCATACTGTAGACATTCGCAAAGTCACTGCGTTTTCTAGTAGTCTTAAGATGTAAAAGCAACCACAAAAGCAACTTTTTCAGAATATACAAGGGAAGGGGAACATCTTACTCTTCCTTCAGCGCCCCCTTTTTACTGGGCTCCTCTACGAACGCTTCTGTTTCTTGCTCTTCTGACATTCCGTGAAGGTATGGATTTAACGGTGGAGGCCTCCAGAAAGATCCGTTCTTGAACATACGAAAGTCTTCGGTCCTCCATTTAGTTGGAGAATCTCCCTAAATAAATAAACATCCAGAAGTTACTGGGAAGCTCTAACAACTTAGAGTCAAGATTAACAAAAGAATGTAACTCTACTTGCCTGCAGAATAGAATAAAGCTTCCACCTGTAGTAGACATGGGCTGGTGTCTGGTTTTCGAATAAGAACCTAAGGAAAATGAAACAAAAAATTAATTATCATGTTCTTTAAGACAGAGTTATCTCCTCTTAAAAATAAACAACAAAAGACTATTGGCCTATTAAGCTCTAAGGAAACCCAGGCAAGGACCCCAGCAGAGCAAGCCTCGCCCGCCCATCTGTAACTGGTGTCTGCACCCACGCTGCCCAACCATTACCGTTAACACTGACAAGGCAGCACGGTGCTGGTTCTCATCATTTTAACGTCATTTCCAAAGTAGCTGTTTACACTACTTCATGAACATTAACCTAGTGTCTTGGACACCGTATCCGTTCAGAAGATCCACCATTCCCTTCCTAACCCACTTGTCACAACTACGTGACTCTCACTGAAAACATAATGAAAACTATTTTCCTCTTAGAGAATGCTAACAAACAAACAAAATGTCATTAAATCAAAAAGGAACTGACCTAAGCACATTCTAGTCTACTTACTAAGACTAACTTCTCATCTATCTACAGAAATAATCCTAAAGATTTCATTCTTGGAAACATTTTTTGATTTCCAAAAGTTGAAAGCAGTTTTAAATATACTACTGAAGAGCTACAAAAGACAGTATACACACACACACACATATATACACATCTGCATGTATGTATACACGTGTATGTATGTATATAATGGATTGTTACTCAACCTTTAAAAGGAAGAGCTCTGGAATACAGCTACAAACTGGATAAACCCTGAAGTGAAAGAAGAGACCCAGGACAAATGCTGTGTGATTCCACCCCAGGTAATACATCAGAGAACCGCCAAATTCATAAAGACAAAGCAAACAGTGGCTGCCGGGGCAGGAGGCGCAGAGCTATCCAACATGGGTTCTAGAAGGGGACCAGAGGTCGAGATGGATGGCAGCAACCGCTGCACATCAACATGAGTGTACTTAACACTGCTGAACAGTGAGCACTGTGTTGTATTAGCAAATTTTGTTTGGGTCCGGTCATGGGGCCTGAACTCTGGGTCTGGGTGCTGTCCCTCAGTTCTTCGGCTCAAGGCTAGTGCTCTACCACTTGAGCCACAGCGCCACTTCCAGCTTTTTTTTTTTCTGCTTATGTGGTGCTGAGGAATCGAACCCAGGGCCTCATGCATGCAAGGCAAGCGCTCTACCACTGAGCCACCTTCCCAGCCCTGTTATAATTGTTACAGGAACAGAACTGTTATTGAATCACAATTTTTAAAAAAGGCACACCTGAACATAGGGTTGTTGATTTCTCTGTTCATAATCATCGCTTCAAACATCGGCCCTTCACGTACAACAAACTCTATCATTCGATGTATCAGAGCGAGCAAATTCCTACAACAACAACACAGTTAAAGGAAATGGATTCAGACCTACCACTATAGAAAGCTACACTTGATCTAAGTTACTATAATTGTGCAGAAAAAGATTATTGTGCTGACTAACACAGAATTGGAGCCTATGTTAACATCTGTGCATTAGGAGGGGAGGGGGCTGTGGAGGGTGGGGCAGAAGGGAGGGAGAAGGGAGAGGGAGGGGGAGCCACAACACAGCATCGTAGGAGTAAGACTGAATTTTCTAAATGCCACTTCGTTCTATTTTCCAAATGGAAAATATTAAATTCTGAACCACAACTAATTGGAAGGCTGCAAATATATAAACACAGTAACTTAGAGCTCGTACGTTATTGAAACCATCTAAAAACTTGCACACTACATGTTTTAAAGAAAATATTCCTAACCAAGCACTTTGTCATAGTCTTAAAATATATATATATATATATATATCACAACCGTAACTATAATGTATGAAAATGCAAAACTACGTGACAAATTGAAGGCCTGATTCAATAAAAGATCCACCCAATCGCCGTGCTTTTCTTGTACACACGCACCGGATGGACTTTTCATTAAATCTGACCTCTCATGAGGCAACATCCCTTTGGACCACACTTCAAACTCACTTGAAACTCAGCACATGCATAGTTCTGCCTGTGTATTATCGACCACTGAAATCATTTCGCCAAAGCCTTGAGTAAATCAAGCCCCACTCTTTCCAAAACGGGGGACGTGGTGTGATGGCCTTTCTTTATCTTCCAATATTTAAGCCAAAAATCAATGTGAGTATCTGTGTACTCATTGTATGGATTCATAGAAACTCTCTCGTTTAAAATCTCTAGTAGGAGAATCCAAATGTCATTTCAGACAGTGCTCAGGCCGTCGGCGGCTGTGTTTTACTTCGAAGCTGCTTTGATTTCTCCTTTCACGGGTGCCCTCGTATGTGTTGCTGACAACTAACAATTGGGAGAGCAAAAGGATATTGGCTCGTGGCATAAGGCAAACACTAAGTCACATCTTTAGCATTCCCGGCTCAACTTAAGTTCATGTAACTGCTAGGATATAAATATAGTTATAGAACAAGACAGATTGGTTTTGGCTCTAAGATGCCCTGCTTCAGAGTACCTGAACGGTAAAGTTATCTCTTATGTTGAGTACAATTATAAATAGGTTTCAAATAAACCTATTTAAGTGGACACTACAGTTGTGGAAAAGAGTAATTCTGAAGGAGGTCAAAAATGTATATGAAGATTTAAATATTTACAAAGGGGAAACTATACATGTGAAATACTAGTTCAACAACCTTAATTGGTCAAAACAAAAAAAAAATCACTTAATTTGAGCTTTAAAATTCTGTATCTTTCATGGAAAGTATCGACTGTCCTGCAAGTATGCAGTTCGTGATGTCCCCGTGAGAATGGAGTCTCAGCTTCCATACAGTTAATGACATTATTTTGAAAGGGAGATAAAGTCATTATTCAATTCCAAAATGCCAACTACTATCAGCCAAATTAAAGCTAAGGGGAATTTTGTGAATAGAATACATATGACCACTTACAAAGTGGACAAATGCTACACACCCAGAAACTTGTTGTAAATTAAGCAACTTGACCTAGGTATTAAAGGTACATGAAGAAAGAATTTAGCAAGCTTAAAACAAAAGTATTCATTCTATCTGTAAGTTAAGATTTTTACAGCCAAATGTACACTCAAAATTTTGTTCAGAAATAAGCTGAGCCACACACATGAGGTTTCTACTGAATATATGGTTTTGAGTACTAAAAAAATTTCCTGTGAATGCTTTATCATCAGTGAAAAAAAAACCCTCAATAGTTTTAAATAGGCTTGTAACTGATAAAAATCTATTTTTAGCAAGTTAAAAGCTCCAGTTTTTTAAAGTATTACATAGGATTATTTAAAATCAAAATCTGACAATTGGTTGTTGCTAACTTGAATTCAAGATTCAAGAATTGCAATTATACTCTATGTAAGTAATGTATCATTTCCTTATTTTAAAAAAATGCTGATTTTTCTACCAGAATGCAACAGTGTAGTACAAAAAGATGTTATGTTTAAAGTGCATTATTTTATTTTTTAAATGGAAATTATCTTATTCTGGGCAACCACAACAACAACAAAAAAAATAAATAAATTAATTAAATTAAAAAAAACTGTCTCTCATTTACTATAAAGCCACATTTATTGGATTGATCGTACCAATGTCTGGTCAAAACCTGTATACTTTCCCAATCCATCCCATGGTGTTTCCTGGTCCCCCGCTGCCGCAGACAGCTCAGCTGGTGTTGCTCACCAAGGCCAATGTCAAAGAGAATTTGGTATTTTGTGTTCATTTATTATTCAACCAGTGTTGTGTTCCTGTGTTTGGGAAAAGGCTTAGCTTGACTGAGCAAGAGCACAACCTACGGCAGGAATTCTTCCACATTAATGGTGTATTGAAAAAGAAAACAAAGAAAGAAAAGTAAAAGTGATCTAAACATCTTTGTTATTGTGAAAAAAATAGTTCCTAGTTATGTACAGTATCCTGGAATAGGAATTTCTTTAAAATCAATTAGGAAAAAAGAACAAAAATGAACAAAACTATGCCTTCAGTAAGGAGAACTAAAGCCAAGGTTGTATATTAAATGCACAGTTCAAAAACTTAAAAAAAAAAAAAAAAAGCAACAGATTGGGTCAAATGCTAACATTATCTAAAATTCACAATACATTTTATTTAAAACATCTATTTCCCCCTCACAATAGTTTAACATTATTAGACCAACAACTCAAGATTAAGCTAATAAATACATTCTAACTTCTGTAACGATGAAACTCCCTACATTGGTACCCATACAAACTAAAAACATCTAAGATCGCAAAGTATACTATGAAGTTAGTTAAATTTCACATATCCCCCCCCAAAAAAGTACTGGGAAGGAACCATTGCTCAGTCAAGATGTTACCTTTTCCTCAACACCATTTTTTTTAATTCAGAAGGGGATATTGTCTATATTTAGATCAGTAATAATAAAGAAAAACATGTACCTTTCTGTTGGGATAACCACTTTGACTATGGCTTGCGACAGAGTCTGTATATGAAGTCACATCAGATAATAAACATAGAATATGTGAGTATTGTTAACAAGTAACAAGCAAAAATATACATATGCATTGAAAATACTACACATCTAATGATAAGTTCTGCAGGCAATCACTGCATTTGAAGTAATTATACACTAAGCAATTACATAAATGCAAATGGATGTGTTCAGCGAACAATTAGTTCACCAAATGCAAAGATCCAGAACATTCCTGCTAGAATGCACACCAATGCACTGAAATAGTACTACACTGAGAATTATCAGATAAAGATTTTAATTTGTGAAATAATTAACTGTTTGCCTCTGACCACAGTTTACTAATTTGTTCCCAAGCCTTTAAAACCAGCCCTGTCATTTTAAGTGTAATTAAAACTCATAAGAGAACCAACAAATTCTTGTAACTTCAAGTTGGTTTATGTTTAATCGAGAGAAATACTCACCCTTTGCATTTTAACTAGGTTAACTTAAAAAAAAAATACCACATTCACTCTCAGGTATTTTACTATCTCACGACCTTGAGAACTAAGTTAGCTAGCTGACACCCAAACCATGTATTTAGGTGGCCTTTCTAATTGAAAAGTCACTTAGCCAAATACAAATTATCACTCTCTCAAAACAAAGTAAATTTTAGATACTGCATTTAAGCAAACTTGGATACAACACTGGACACAGGGGAAGAAAAACTTAACAAGTGGTCAAAAAAGGAATGGTAGCCATAAATAAAAATACGACCTACTATTGAAATAAGCATCTCCATGGGCTAAGGCCGGGAACACATCTACTTAGCTCTTTAAAGAGTTGCCAAACAGAATAAACACACACATTTTCTTCTCTAAGATTGTTGAAAAGAAATACTACCACAGATTTAGTATGCACAAATTAGGTCCAGACCCACGCACGTTGTCAAATTACCTTCTCAAAATCCTCCTTGTTTTTGGGCGGCGGCAGCATGGGGGCGCTGGGGTTTTTGAGCCGCTCTCGAGGCTGCGCATTGAAAGGCAGGCCGGAGGGGGGCGGGGGGAGCGTGTGCTCCATCATGGAAGGAGGGATGTATATCGGGTGAGGAGGGATCGGGACGGCTTTGCCCCAGCCTAACTTCATCTCAAAAGACATAATCATCTTTCCTGCAGAAAGGAGAGGGAGACACAGAAAAGTCGGGCTGGGGAAGCCCCAGCAGGGAATGGAACGTTTCGGCTCTGGGTGGTAGGCGCGGGTCCTCTGCACGGCGTTGGTCTACGCCTGCAGGTCTAGGCTCCAGGCCTCACGCCAGGTAGGAGGCAGGCTCTGTACTGCTGAGCCACGCCCCCCGGCCCCCAAGGGCTCTTCACAACTACAAGGCGCAACCAAAGATGTCTACATTTTGTAACTGGATACAGAAATGGCCTTACCATTTAAATTTTTCAAAGCTCTCTCGGCATCTCTTCTATTCATAAAGGCTACAAAGCCACAGTTTCTCTCTCTTGCTCTTTCTTCATCAGTTCTAGGCCACATAATTTTTACACTAGCTAATGGTCCAAATCTTCCAAATTCTTGGCACAGCATTTCTTCATTCATCTATTGGAAACAAGGGGAGAAAAAAAGAGAAATCTATGCAGCAGCAGAAAGCACAGTTGTTTTTTGCTCAATGAAAAGCAATACCATTTGCCATTCAAGTTAACTCTACAATCAAGGAACGATACACTGGTAAAACTGTGCCCTTCTAAAACACGGAGCCCCCGTCAGAAACAATGCCGCGGGACTTGAATAGGATGCCCGGGTTGGAGGTCTGGCTCGGTGGCCACCAAGTTAACTCCAGAGACTATTTCATCCTTTCCACTAACTTTAAAATCCTATCATTTCAAAGCAGCCTTCTTCCAGAAGCCCCCAGTACGATGGACATTAGTCCAGGTGTCAGGGCGCGGTACCTGTGGGTTGATGTTTCCGAGGTATAAGTTAGTGGTGCTCGGGTCTCCAACATCATGTGAGCCAGGCGCGTAATCGTCAAGAACTAGGGCAAGAGAGGAGAGTTATAACCTGCGAACACAAAGTCTGGACAATTTCATATGGACGAAAACAGCAAAAAACTGTATTACCACCAGATGATCGATTTCTTCTGGAAGGCACATCCACTTCAAGAGGAGAAAAGAGAAACAAGGGTTAAGTGTTTAGCATGATTAATCATGAATAGACACATTAAAACAGAGGTCACTTACTAGACCGACGCTGGCCGTCAGAGTCTGACTGAGGTGGCTCAAACCGGCTCAACCTGCCTTTGGTTTTATGTCTCTCATCTCGTTCTTCTTGAATTCTGTTGAAAATGGTTACAGTCAACTAAAACTGAGCTAAAATGTACTTGTTTATAGGTAAAGAGGAAACAAGCTAACCCAAATACTACTATTTGGAATTGAAGACCAGTCATGATGATCAAGGTAAGTGAACACTTCAGGCTTAAGAGCAGTAGGAATAGATTTCTATTATTCTAGCAACAGCAAACTAAGCTCATTCTGAAGGTGAGGAGAACATGTCAAATGTGACGTTAACATGACAGATTGCTTTTTTTTTTTTTTTTTGGTCGGCCCTGGGTCTTGAACTCTGGGCCTGGGCGCTGTCCCTCAGCTCTTCAGCTCAAGGCGAGCGCTCTACCACTTGAGCTACAGCGCCACTTCCGTGACAGATTGCTTTTACTCGTTAAGTCTCCCCACTGAGGAGCGGTGCCCCACTGTTTCCACAGCAAATTAAGAGTCTGACCACAAATAAGTGGATTAAATCCACACAACACCAGTCGTCTTGCTGCTGGACTAAATGCCAACTCATACCCACACATACGCCACTGGAAATCACTACACTACCTAAAACAACGTAGATTACAATAACTGGCACACTTCATCCGTCACACAGGCATCTAGTAATTATACCTATGATAGTCAATTCTCTAACTTATGAAACTTACTGTTTTAGTTCTTCTTTAAAGAGTTCCAAATTGCTTTTTTTCTTTTCTTTCTCTCCTTTCTTTAGTGGCTACAAAGAATACAAGAAGTCCAAACAAAAGAAGATTAAATGAACTATGGTTCAGTTAAGTAACTTTTAAATCATTTCTACTGTAGCCCCAACATATTTTTAATTATTGCAATTTAAAACAACGTCTATTATCATTAAACTTCCATTTTCTCCCAGTTCCCTCAAAATAACTAAGCAATTAAAATTTAAAACAAATAACTGTAACAACTGGCAGTCTTCGATAATAAAGAAGCCATTAAGCCTACCCCCCGGGGTAATCCACAGACCTGAGCAGGGAGGGAGGTTACAAAACTCAGAGGAGCGGGGCTGCTGTGTATCGCGCCCGCTCCATGACCTACTATCAAAAATGTGCGCTGAAAGCCATCAGCTTTGGAGGAGATGAAATACAAAACAAAAGAGTAAGAGCGTTAGAATTCCCCTTTCAAAGTGCTTCTGAGCTACTCTGGAAATGTGTCTTTCATTCTGGGGAAAGGAGGGTCCGTCCAGCAGTGCTGTGCAAGTGAACATCCACCCCAGGAAGAATGCATGGAGCTGCACCCCACTTCGTGTGACATACGAAAAGACTCCAACAGTCACAATCCGAGAAGCCTCAAACTCTTAAGAGAAAAACACAGGACGACACCCATGATCTCCCAATGCACAATGGATTCTTAGACATGATACCAGAAGCATAACTGGCAACATTTTCACTAGAATTTAAGATGTCTGTGCTACCTTTCAAAGTAGCATCCACAGAGAAAGGAAACAAAACAGCAGAAAGGAGACAATCTACAAATGTGAGAAAATCCTAGCAAGCTAAACGTCAAATGACTAATATTCATATGAAGGGCTCCAAAAATTGCACCATGAAGGTCATCATTCAAATGGGCAAGCTAACAGAACAAGCGGTTTTCTAAAGTAGAATTGGCAAATAAATACTGACAAAATGTGCACCATCCTCAGCCATAAAGCAGATCGAAACCAGGTAGACATGCCGCCGTGGACAGGCTGCCTCCCTCAGGGAGAACGGCGGTTATCAGTAACACAAGTGACAAGTGCAAAGACCAAGGGGGAGAGTCTTGTACAGTGTTAGTGGGAATGTAGCTTAGGACTGCTACCACTGAAATCAGTATGGAACTTCCTAGAGGAACTGAAATGAGAAATCAGACATGGGAGTGGAGACAGGAAAACTCAACATTCACATCTGCTGCAGCACCAGTCACGTGAGGCCCGCCCTGGAGCGAGCCTAGAGCCTCGATGGGCGGAGTAGGAAAATGTGGTACACATGCACACACACGCACACGCACACGCACACGCACACGCACACGCACACACACACACAGAGTGGACTACCAGTTAGCCGAAAAGAACCAAAGTATGTCATTTTCAAGAAAATGGAAGATCATCGTGTTGAGCAAGATAAACCAAGTTTGAAAACAAAATACATTTGAAGAATCTAAACTTACAACAGTATCGATAATGACATGAGCGTAAAAGGGGGTTAGATAATCAGCAAGAGCAGGGAGGAGGAGAGAAAGTACAGGATAAGAGTGTTACACGTGCATCTGGGTGTGTGCATGTGTGTGTGCATGTATATGTAGGAAGACAGCACAATGAAACCCACAACACACTGTATGGAAAAGGGGCGTGGTGGAGGGACAGTAACGGGGTGAAGCTGATCAAGGACACTTTATGCATCTATGGGAATACCATAAAGCCTTTTCAACATTAGTGTCAGGGAGGAAGGGAGGGAGGGAGGGAGGGAGGGAGGGAGAGAGGGAGGCCTTTCTTTCAGTGTAATCATATTTACTCACCAAAGTTAGACAACAAGTAATACGACCCCGTATCTATTTACTATCCTCCACAAAAGCCTCACTCTAAAGAATGAAAGAGAATACTTAAAAGATACTACCATGACTTCTGACTGTAATGTCCAAAAAGTCCACGTCGCTAGCAATTATTTTACATTTATAAACACTCAAAACGCAGCACTTCTGAGCTGCAATCTCTATAACCTGAGTACAGGAACCACAAGTGCTCAAAGAATCTGCACATCCTCCTCTGACTTATGACCTCTCATCTGCACAAACTACTGAGGCAGAAAGCATCAGTTCTGAACTTACATCCCAAAACACCTGAAGACAAAACAACCCAACTTCTGCTTACAGAAGTATCACTGACAGTGTCAATGCCAAACATAAACGGTGTGACTTACGGGTTTTTTTGTTTCAATCACAAGAAGAGATGGTGGTCTCTCATTGGATGATTGATTTGGAGGATTTTTTTGATCTGCAAACCTTGAAGATGGCTTATAGATTTTCCCTCTTTTCTCATCTGTTTCATGTTCTTCTGAAAGTTAAGATACTAAGTTACAAAACTAATTTGATACCTTCTTTGCTCTTTTACTTCAAGATTATGAATATGTGTTTGGCATTAAGATTCAGTATGACAGATTAATTACAATGGAAATTTAAGGATGATGTTGTTCAAAAAGAATTGACTCATTACCTGACTCCTGAAATGACGACTACTCTGTACAACACCTTTACAAGAAAATTACTTCTAAAACCTTAAATGTAAGCACTAACACTTCACCCTCAAAAATACTAATGCAACCAACCACTCTGTACGCAGGCAGAACTGAAATACACTGAAGTGTTTTCGAAGTACTGGGCTGTGGTCAAA